CCCTCCCCCTACCCCACGACCCAGCACCACATGGATGCTGGAGCTGGCACGGTGGCACGGGCTCCCGCCGAGACACACTGCTCCATAAAGAAGCTGCAGCATTCCGCACCTGCTTCTGTTTCCAGGTCGCCACGGGGTCCATCTACACAGCTGCTGGGAGCTGAATACCTGCTAGCTCTGCTGGAGCCAGCACCTAAAGATAACCGTGGGACCCCGGTGACGTGGGCGGCTCGGGCTAGCGGCTCGAATACAATCCCACCTGACCCCGGGGTATGTTTCATGGGTGGCTAGCCCGAGCCGCCCGTGCCATTGCAGTCACACTGCTCTTTTCAGGTGCAGGCCGGAGCACAGCTAGAGGATGCGTGTCACCCTCCCAGCGGCTGTGGAGTCAGACCCTTGGAGTGCAGCCCCCTGCAGAGCCCCGTGCAGCGTCTACGCAAGAGGTGGCGAAAGCATGGACCATGCAGTAAGGGCTGTATCTGAAAGAAATGGCTGCAACCGCCTAGCCCTGCGTGGATGGTAGAAAGCCACCCAGACAGTGCTTCTGCATGGCAGTGGTTCCCAGCAGCCCCAGCCTGGGGGACAGACACAAGCCTCAGCTATCTGCTGCTTGCTCCCCAGCCACGAGCCGCTATCTTACCTAGATTGACCTCAGCCAACCAGCTCTCACCTGTGTGCCAGTCTCACCGTGTGCCCGGCGTTAGGCGTTCTGGCTGGGCTGGGCGAGGCAGTGATGGAGAGTTGGGTGCCATCAGCATTCTGCAGGCATATCGCATTGTGAGCCCTTCCAGCAGCCCCATACACACTGGGGGGGGGGGCATGCCGTGGAGCTCCACACGAGAACACCCTCGGGGAGGAGGAGCCCTGCCCCACGCCGCCCGGTGATAATGTGCTGCTTTGGCCACTCCCAGGGCTGAAGGCAGCTGAGGTAGTAATACTGGGTTATGACTGTGTGCCCACACTATCGCCAGGAGGGGAAGGCCTGCCAAGGCCACCAGTGCAGTACCCAGCCCTGAAAGCACACAGCCAGCACTCGAGACTGCCAGAGGCATCAAGTTGGTCTGAAAATTGTTGTGCCACAACCTTCTGTACACTCCGAACCAAAACTGCAAGACTGCACACGGGGCAGTAGCAAGCCAGATCATCAGTGCGACAAGCGTCATTCTCTGGACACAGTGGCTGGCCTCCCTATGGTCAGGCGTTGACAATCCCCACCAGCATCAGACCCAGCTCCCCCCGCTGACCCTCACCAGCCAGGACAGACCTGGATCCAGAGCACAGGCTGTTGGACAGAGGGTAATAAGATGCCCATTTGGGGTAACGTTCACTGGTCAATGGAGAAATCGTCGCGAGGGCACAATCTTCAAAGGATATTTTAAGTGGCAAATATGGAACAGGAATCACAGGAAGTGAAACTGTTTATCCAAAGCAACAAATGGGTTTAGGACTGGAGCGCCGGAACAGAGGGAGCCAGGGGGCCAGGCCCCTCTCACTTTTTGCCATAAGGGCAAGTCACGGGGGGAGGGAGCAGGGGGCTTGGGGAGAAGGGGCAGAGTGAGGGCGGGATCTTGGGGGAATGGGTGGCATGGGGGTGGGGCCTCAGGAAGAAGGGGCGGTGTGGGGGCGGGGCCTCAGGGGAATGGGAGGAGCGAGGTGGGGGTTCAGGGAGAAGGGGTGGTGCAGGGACCGGGGCACAGTTCAGGCGCCATTGCCCCCCCCCCCGCCCACTTTTAGTTTAGGAGGCCGGGCGCTGGGATGCTAAGAAACCACCATCGCTGCAACACAGACAGCATAAAGGTGGAGCTGATCAAAAGTTTTTCAACCAACCTTTTTTCCAATTGAATAACGCCGTTCTGTCTAAACCAAAATGTTTCGCAGAAACCTCCTGGTTTTGACAAGCCCAGCCTGGCACTCGCCGAGGTGTTCAGAGACCCACCTTCAGGCCCCAGCTCTGCCTCATTTGGCACAGAGACTTGAACTGGAATCTCCCACGTTGCAGGTCAATGCTCCGTCCACTGGGCTGTCTCAGTCCCGCTCAATATTTAACTATTTATACAAAGTAAAACACTTTTGATAGAGTGACTCTAGAGCCTGGTGGTGACCAAGTGGGAACGAGGAGAAAGCTGAGTCAAGGACACCACAGTCATAGGCCTGGGAGACAGGAAGGCTAGCGGAGTTGTCAGTTCAAGAAGTTCATTCTGGACAGAGTGAGTGTGAGTTGGTTGCAGGATGCCCGAGAGAAGCCACCAGAGGCTACAAGAGAGGATGGAGGCTGGACAGGGAGGTTTGGACGTTGTCAGCATGGAGGGGGTGGCCCAAGCTATGGAGAAGAGGAGGGAACCAAAGACAAATGGCAGAGGAGCAGAAAGAAGAATGCGGAGATGCTGGATGAGCCTTCAGCACAGCAGGAGAAGAAGCAGGAGCCAAGAGCCGAGTGAATGCAAAGGCAGAGGATGTGCTCAGCTGTGTCTCAAGCAACAGAGGGACCCAAGAGAATAAGAAAATTAACTTAGGATGCAAAACTACACATCAGGGCAGATCCTCAGCTAGTGTAAATGGGCAACGTTCCACTGCAGTCAATGGAGATACGCTGCTTTACACCTGCTGGGGCCTGGCCCCAGAAGATTAACCAAAAGGATTCATTAGAGAGCTGGTGGGAGGGATGGAAAGGGCTGAATGCAGCAGGTAGAGCTTGGCAAAGGAACAGCCACAGGGCGAGATGTGACAACAGTCTATGAGTGTTTGAAGGGTGTGACTGCCTAGGAGGGGAAGGAATTGTGCAGGACATTACAAAGGGGAACAGAATGAAAGCGAACAAAGAAAAATTGACTCTAAACGTCAAACGGCACCGAAGCAGGGTTTTACTGTATGCAGGGGCAGCTCCAGGCACCAGCGCAGCAAGCGTGTGCCTGGGGCGGCAAGCCGCGGGGGGCGGCGTGCCGGTCGCCGTGAGGGCGGCAGTCAGGCAGCCTTCGGTGGCATGTGTGCAGCAGGTCTGCCGGTCCCATGGTTTTGGCGGCAATTCGGTGGCGGGTACATCGAATCCGCAGGACCGGCAGATCACTCGCAGAAACGCCGCCAAATCCGCGTGACCGCGGACCGCCGGCAGGCATGCCGCTGAAGGCCGCCTGACTGCCGTGCTTGGGGCAGCAAAAAACAGAGCCGCCCCTGACTGTATGAAGATGTGGAAATGTTTCCTGAAGGATGTGGCAAAAGCCTCATTTGCCTGAGTATTTAAACCTAGGCTGGACAAAGCATTGGAGACCATATTGTGAGGAACAGTGTGCACAGCTCGTGTGCAGACAGGCAGCGTGGCTGGAAAAGGTCTAACCATCTACAATATATTCTGTTTGCAGGGTACTCATCATTGCAGTTTCTAAGTGCTAAAATCAGAGCTGAGCCAAGGATTTGATGTACTTACATATTTGATCATATTCTATATAAAATCTCATCATCGTTATTATTAAGAATTCACCGTTCGGATCACTCCTTCTCAAACAGATAGAGCAGAGAGAGAAGGACCCCAGCAACAGATCAGAGATAATAATTGGAGGCTTGGAACGATTCCTCTATGAGAAGGAACTGAAAAAATTAGGGCCACTGAGTTTAGAGAGGAGAAGAAAAAGAGGGGAACGTAAAAACTCAACACTTTTGAGAAGGCCTCTCCGGCACCCAATGCTGCACATTTCACTTACGCTAGAAGCTGTGTTGCTTCGTTGTGATTGGCCACATACGTCGAGTGGGACTGTTTCTGTTCCCTGATTGGATGAGCACATCTCAGGGCTGGCACCAACACCACCTCAGCCAACGCAATCACGGCCAACACAGCCGCTGATTAGTGGGAAACGGCTGGCGGCACCTGCCTAGTTCTGGGCATAACAGCCCCTCCCTGACTCACAGACGTGCACACGGGTGGCCAGATGCTGATCCCGTCTCATCCTGAAGTGCGCCCGAGTCCATGTCTGGCACAGAAAGGTGCTATTCAGTGTCAGGGAGGCTCAATGTGCCCAATGGAGACAATGAAACTACAGGAGAACCTGGCACTCTCCAAGCCCCATTTCCATCGTGTGACTCTGGCTTTGACACTGGCCCGTTGCAGTGCCCAGCATAATGCCAACAGGCAGTGGGGGCACTCGGTGACACAGCCACCTGGGAGAGGAGCAGATGGGCTGCAGATCACAGCTGAGAAGGCATAATCTGCAGAAAGCAAACGGTAACTGGGCAAATGAATTGGTGTTGGTTGGTATTTCGCTCCCAGGCTGGGTCCACTATAAACGTGTGTTGTCAGGGGTGCTGTCCCATGGGTGGGGGAAGTCGAACATGGGGAACTGTGTGTGTGTGTGTAGGGTGTATGCATCCACGTGAGGTGCAAGGGAAGGTGTGCACGTGTTTGGAGGGAAGTTGGTGTGTTTGAGTGGTGGCTTGCTTGCTTGTGGGTACACGTGATGGTGACAGTTTGTGCTGTTTCCAGCTGTGGGTAGGAATCGGTGGATTGTGGTTACAGCCCTTTCATAGCCTGTCGAGGTGTGCCACCGACAGTGCTGTCTTATAGAGTTGTCTTTTAACAATACCAGTTTTCTGCCACACAAATACTGTACCCCTGTTGCTCTATTAGTGCCAATTGTGGTAATCTTGAGGCTGATAAGAAACTGCCGTGTAACTCCAGCCTCCTGGGTTGTGCTAGACAACAGCCAAAGGAGACTCCAACTCCTGAGCATGCTCAGCCCAGTACAGTCGAGTGGGGCCTGAGAACACCTCACCACAGAACACCCACCCGTGCTGAGGAGACATCCCAGGGCAACAGCACTGTGCCCCAGACCCTTCAGGCAAACTCTGCCAAGCTCAGCTGCAGGCCAAAGAGGCTTGTATGTTCAACAGGGAGACGGCATTGCTGTCTCCTTTCCATTTACACCGAAGCTGCCCCAAAGGGCCACAGGCAACATGCACTGCTGGTTCCCAAAGACCCCATTTCTTCACTGTGCCGATAGCCTCATACTCACCCCGTGCGATGGGTAGGTCAGCCAGCCCCAGTCCCCGGGGATCATTGCTGTGTCCAGCAAGTTCACTGGAAAACACAGGAGGAAAAAAATGCATTAGAAAACTGCTCACCTTTCACAAACAACCTACAAAGCAGCACACCCCAAGCTACACTGTGAGACCGTGTGCTCCCACCCCACAGCACACTCCAAGCTACACCATGAGGCCGTGGTGTGCTCCCACCCCACAGTAGACCCCAAGCTACACCATGAGACCATGTGCTCCCACCCCAAGCTACACCGTGAGGCCATGTGCTTCCACCCCACAGCACACCCCAAGCTACACCATGAGGCCGTGTGCTCCCACCCCCCACAGCACACCCACCTATACTGTGAGGCTGTGTTACTCTTGGGGGAATTCTGCACCACTGTGAACATCCAGAATTTATGTCCCCTGCAGTTTCTTTGCTTCCCCGCAGAAAACTGACTTTCTGACGGGGAAGCAAAGGGAAGCCACAAGAGTGGTCATGCGACCCTCCCCAGCAGTGTGTTTTGGGTACCCAGGGCAGCCAGCAGAGAGGTAAATTACTGTGAGGTCGGGGGTGGAACTGGGGAAGACCTGGCTCATGGCTCCTACCCTGTGCCAGGCTCAGCTACTAGTCCTGGCTGGGCTGGGGAGGATGGGACTTTCTCTTCCCCTACACAGCATCTGGGGCCCATGTCAGACCCACCTCCAGATTTCTCCTCCAGCTGCAGGAAGCTCTGCAAATTCCCCCCTCATTCCCACTTCCTGCACCCATCACTCCTCAGCTGAAGGGGGAGGGATCCCTCTACAGGGAGCTACTCCCCCATCTGCCCAATCCCCATGCATCCAGACCCCCTCATATCCAGACCCTCCTACCAAGCCTCACCCCCACACTCAGAACCACCCTGATGAGCTCCACTGTCTCTGCACCTGGACCACCCTGACGATCTGGGTGCAGGTGGCTCCTCACCTCATTGAGCACCAACCAGCTGCACCTGGATCCCCACCCCACTAAGCCCCACTCCCCCAGCATCTGGACCCCCCTGAAGAGTCCCTTTACCATTGCACCCAGAACTCCCCAACAAGCCCCTGTGCATCCAGATCCCCCCTGCACCCAGAGAGCCACCCGCACCCAGACTGCCCCACACAGAACCCTCTCAACCCACACCTAGATCCCCTCCACACTTGGATCCTGCTGGGCTGAGCCTGCCTGCCCACACCTGGTGCACTTGGCACAGAGGGGCAGGCCCAGTCCTCACGCTGTCAGGGTTGGGTGCAGCCTCACCGCTGAGTCTGTGTCCCGGGCGGAGCTGCACAGTGATCTTCCATCCTGTGCAGCCAGTGGCCTGTGCTCCCCAAGGCCATGCTGGAGCCTCCACACTGATTTGACAAATAAAATTAGCAGAATTTTAAAAATATTGTGCACAGAATGTTTATTTTTTTGGTGCAGAATGCCCTCAGGAGTACTGTGTGCTCCCATATCCACCTACACCAGGGGTTCTCAAACTGGGGGTCAGGACCCCTCAGGGGGTCACAAGGTTATAACCTGGGGGGTCGTGAGCTGTCAGCCTCCACCCCAAACCCAGCTTCACCTTTAGCATTTATAATGGTGTTAAATATAAAAAAAAGTGGTTTTGATTTATAAGGGGGGGGGTTGCACTCAGAGGCTTGCTGTGCGAAAGGGGTCACCGCTACAAAAGTTTGAGAACCACTGACCTACACTCATAGCTTCATGGATTCCAAGGCCAGAAGAGACCACTGTGATCACCTAGTCTGACCTCCCATATAACCCAGACCAGAGAACTTCCCGAGAATAATTCCTAGAGCAGATCTTTTAGAACAACATCCCATCTTCACTTAAAAATGGTCAGTGATGGAGAATCCTCCACAACCCTTGGTAAATTGTTCCAATGGTTATTTACCCTCACTGTCAAAAATGTATGTCTGATTTCCAACCTCAATTTTCCAGCTCCAACTTCCAGCCATTGGATCATGTTAGACCTTTCTCTGCTAGACTGAAGAGCCCGTTACTAAATATTTATTCCCCATGTGGGCACTTACACACTGTGATCAAGTCACCCCTTAAGCTCCTCTTTGTTACGCTAAGGAGATGGATCTCCTTGAGTCTATCACTCTAAGGCTGGTTTTCTAATCCTTTAATCATTCTCGTGGCTCTTCGTTGAACCATCTCTAATATATCCACATCCTCCTTGAACTGTGGGCACCAGAACTGGACACAGGATTCCAGCAGCAGTCACACCAATGCCAAACACAGAGATAAAATGACCTCTGTGCTCCTACTCGAGAGTCCCCTCTTCTTGCATCCCATAATCGAGTTAGCCATTTTGGTCACACAGTTGCACTGGGAGCTTGTGTTCAGCTGAGTATGCACCACCTCCACCACCCCAAATCTTTTTCAGAGTCCCTGCTTCCCAGGAGAGAGCCCTCCATCCTGCTGCCTTTGTTCTAGAGGTATAAAGTGGTGGGATGTCTGCAGAGGGGACAAATGCCCCCGGACTCCTCTCCCAGCATCTCTCCCCACTTACCTCCTACGGGAGGGGACAGTGCAGAGCTGGGAGAGGTGAATGGTGACTGCAGAGCAAACCAGAGGTGAAGCCAGTGTGACAGATCTTTAGGGGAGCTGTGAGTGTGTGGGAAGGATGTGCGTGGGTCTGATTCCTGTTTGCTCTGCCCTGACCCTCACCAATCCTTGCACAAGGCAGCACAAGGCAGCACCTTGCACCTGATTAGAATAATAGAATATCAGGGTTAGAAGGGACCTCAGGAGGTCATCTAGTCCAACCCCCTGCTCAAAGCAGGACCAATCCCCAACTAAATCATCCCAGCCAGGGCTTTGTCAAGCTGGGCCTTAAAAACCTCTAAGGAAGGAGATTCCACCACCTCCCTAGGTAACCCATTCCAGTGCTTCACCACCCTCCTAGTAAAAAAGTTTTTCCTAATATTCAACCTAAACCTCCCCCTCTGCAACTTGAGAACTCCTTGTTCGGTCATCTGGTACCACTGAGAACAGTCTAGATCCATCCTCTTTGGAACCCCCTTTCAGGTAGTTGAAAGCAGCTATCAAATCCTCCCTCATTCTTCTCTTCTGCAGACTAAACAATCCCAGTTCCTTCAGCCTCTCCTCACAAGTCATGTGCTCCAGCCCCCTAATCATTTTTGTTGCCCTCCGCTGGACTCTTTCCAATTTTTCCACATCCTTCTTGTAGTGTGGGGGCCTAAACTGGACACAGTACTCCTGATGAGGCCTCACCAATGCCGAATAGAGGGGAATGATCACGTCCCTCCATCTGCTGGCAATGCCCTACTTATACAGCCCAAAATGCCATTAACCTTCTTGGCAACAAGGGCACACTGTCGACTCATATCCAGCTTCTCATCCACTGTAACCCCTAGGTCCTTTTCTGCAGAACTGCTGCCTAGCCATTTGGTCCCCAGTCTGTAGCAGTGCATGGGATTCTTCCGTCCTAAGTGCAGGACTCTGAACTACTCCTTGTTGAACCTCAGATTTCTTTTGGCCCAATCATCTAATTTGTCTAGGTCCCTCTGTATCCTATTCCTACCCTCCAGCATATCTACCACTCCTCCCAGTTTAGTGAATCTGTAAACTTGCTGAGGGTTCAGTCCATGCCATCCTCCAGATCATTAATGAAGATATTGAACAAAACTGGCCCCAGGACCGACCCTTGGAGCACTCCGCTTGATACCGGCTGCCAACTAGACATGGAGCCATTGATCACTACCCATTGAGCCCGACGATCTAGCCAGCTTTCTATTCACTTTATAGTACATTCATCCAGCCCATACTTCTTTAACTTGCTGGCAAGAATACTGTGGGAGACCGTATCAAAAGCTTTGCTAAAGTCAAGGAATAACATGTCCACTGCTGTCCCCTCATCCACAGAGCCAGTTATCTCCTCATAGAAGGCAATCAGGTTGCTCAGGCATGACTTGCCCTTGGTGAATCCATGCTGACTGTTCCTGATCATTTTCCTCTCCTCGAAGTGCTTCAAAATTGATTCCTTGAGGACCTGCTCCATGATTTTTCCAGGGACTGAGGTGAGGCTGACTGGCCTGTAGTTCCCCGGATCCTCCTCCTTCCCTTTCTTAAAGATGGGCACTACATTAGCCTTTTTCCAGTCATCCGGGACCTCCCCCGATCACCATGAGTTTTCAAAGATAATGGCCAATGGTTCCGCAATCACATCCGCCAACTCCTTTAGCACCCTCGGATGCAGCGCATCCAGCCTCGTGGATTTGTGCTCGTCCAGCTTTTCTAAATAGTCCTGAACCACTTCTTTCTCCACAGAGGGCTGGTTGCCTCCTTCCCATGCTGTGCTGCCCAGTGCAGCAGTCTGGGAGCTGACCTTGTTCGTGAAGACAGAGGCAAAAAAAGCATTGAGTACATTAGCTTTTTCCACATCCTCTGTCACTAGGTTGCCTCCCTCATTCAGTAAGGGGCCCACACTTTCCTTGACTTTCTTCTTGTTGCTAACATACCTGAAGAAACCTTTCTTGTTACTCTTAACATCTCTTGCTAGCTGCAACTCCAAGTGTGATTTGGCCTTCCTGATTTCACTCCTGCATGCCTGAGCAATAGTTTTATACTCCTCCCTGGTCATCTGTCCAATCTTCCACTTCTTGTAAGCTTCTTTTTTGTGTTTAAGATCAGCAAGGATTTCACTGTTAAGCCAAGCTGGTCGCCTGCTGTATTTACTATTCTTTCTGCACATCGGGATGGTTTGTTCCTACAACCTCAATAAGGATTCTTTAAAATACAGCCAGCTCTCCTGGACTCCTTTCCCCCTCATGTTATTCTCCCAGGGGATCCTACCCATCAGTTCCCTGAGGGAGTCAAAGTCTGCTTTTCTGAAGTCCAGGGTCCGTACTCTGCTGCACTCCTTTCTTCCTTGTGTCAGGATCCCTGCGGAGGGTCTCGCCCTTTGGGGCGCTGGGGTCCAAGGCGGTCACTCTGCTCACAGACAGGGAGCAGCTGACTAAGGGTAACAGGCCGGTTTGCAGGGGCCCTTCTCGCCTGGAGTCACTGAGAGTTCCTAGTGCAGGTCCCTTGCTGGGCTGGGGAGGGACAGGGCTATAGCCCCGGTGATGTGCTGCTAACAGGGGGCTGTGTGCTCAGCCAGGCTCTGCAAACGGCTGCAGACCAGGGTCCTTTGCACAAGGATCCATGCACCGTCCAGCATATTGGCACTCCCATGTATCAGCCCCTCCTGAGGAAATGGGGGGTGGGAGATGACAGAGAGCAGGAGGGGCAAGGAGAGGAGGGGGAGGACTTGACACGTTCTCCTGAGCCTGCCTGGCCCAGTGCAGCACTCACCTCGCTGGGCTGGCAGTTTCTCATCGTCTTCTGGAGGCTCAGCTGAGCCCTTTCAACTCACTTCATGCATGGTGTGAGTGGGGTTTGAAGTCTGCAGACCAAATGCTGCCCCGCTGTCCAGCCCAAAGCAGCCCCCCACGCGTCTCTGCTACCACCACACGAGAGACGGGAGTTCCTACGAACAGACTGCAGGGGAGAGGCTGCATGAGGAGTGCCATCAAAGTCACCCCTTCTAATGCCCTCCTACCACGGGGAGCCCGGCTCAAGGAGGAGGCCCAGACAAATCAATCCAGGGAGAGGAAAGCTGCTTAGGCCAGGGGAGGGACAAGGATGCCTTTAAACACTCTCAAGAGTTTTCTATTTAAGCCAGTTCAATGTCTTCGGGGAGAACGGAGAGGAAGCCAGCATGGAATAAAAGCAGAGAGGGGGGAGCTGCCCGCCGGCTGCAATCTGATACGCTTGGCTCCCATTAGCCCCATACTGATGTGCCCAGCAGTTCAGCAACTGCTCGGAATTAGCCACAGGCACGCGGCTGCGGGAAGCGCACGCCTGCCCCACAAATGCTCTGCGCCTGGTTTGTTTCCCTGGACGCTTCAGTCAATAAAGCTTGTAAGGCAAACAGGAGATTGCGGATCCCCGGAGTCTCTCGGCAGGCTCAGCCTTGTATCAGAAGCAGGTCAAACTGACCTTCCATTGCTCCTATCGACCAGCAATCGACCCTCCCACCCGCTCTCTCCAGCCTCTCCCTGCTTCGCTACGGCTTGATCTTTGGCTTTGACGATCTCCTAGCCCTCCGGCATGGAGCCACCCCTGCCATGGCCTGTAACGCTCCCTGTACTTCGCCAGCACCGGGCCTCAGACCCCCGCACAGCACAGCAACACACCTCTGCACCGCCCCCCACCAGCTCGACAGCCCGTTGGTAGCAGACACAGCCGTGAGCATGTGGGTGAAACGCTGTGGGCTCGAGCTGGCTCTGGCGATGTGGCAGGCAGGGGAAAGGTGCTGAGAAAGGCCAGACACTGATTCCCTCTCAGATAGAGGTGTCTGCAACCCTGCTTAGCAGGATGGTCCCCGGACTCTGGGTAGGGCTGTCACGCATTCGGGTTTTACCCGGACAGTCTGGGTTTTGGCTTCTTTGTCCGGGTGCCGGTTAGGGATGCCAGGTGCCTGGTTTTTTATTGGAAAGTCCAGTCGAAAAGGGGACCTGGCAGTGTCCAGTAAGATGCACTGACTGGACACCAACAGTCTGGTTACCACGGGCCAGGGGGAGGCGCTGGGTCATTAACCCACGCCAGCCCCTGCTCAGCCGGGGCCACCTTCTACCTGCAGGCTGGCTCCTTGTCAGGCTGCAGCAGCTCCCCGAGTGGAGGGAGCCCAGCTGTCGGGGGAGGGAGGTGGAGACAATCCAGCAAGCGAAGGGGAGGGGGAGGGGAGAGAGGCGCAAGCAACAGGGGCGAGACCTTGGGGGAAGAGGCGGAGAAGGGGGCATGGCCTCAAGGGAATAGGTGGGGCAGGGGCCGGGCCTTGGGGAAGAGGTGGGGCAGGACCTCAGGGGTCCGGCTGCCAGCAATTAGAAAGGTGGCAACCCAGTTGGCATGGCCCCAAGGCACATTGCGCTCCAGTGTGGCCACCCCAAGTGCAAGGCTTTGCAGAGGCAGCTCCAAATATCAGCCGGCACCTGCAGGCACAGAAGCAGGGACCTTGGGCCACTGACGATGTCATCAGACAGCTGCCAAGCGTGCACCCTGATCCTTCTCTCCTCTCTGCTGATTGGCTATTGGCTCCCACCCCTCGGAGGCAGTCCCATGATCAGGCTCCTTTGCACCGACAAACCTGTGTCCACACTGGGGGTTGCCCTCATTTCACTATGTCAGTAGAAAATCACAGACCTAAGGGAAATAATTCAATTGGTACAAAAGTGATGTGGAGACCAGACCTGGGCAGCAGCTGGGCCTGATCCTGGCTGGGGACTCTAGGAACTGGAATACAAACAGTAAACACCACAGCTGAACCCGCCGCTGCTGGGCTCCCTCAAGGCCAGGAAGGAGACTCCAGCAAGCCGGGCATTCTCCTCGAGCAAGGGCGGGCTCCATGCAGCGCTGCCCATGCAGCCAGAGGAACAGTGCCACTTTCACTTACTATTACAACTCAGGGAACGCGTGGCAGAGGCAGGTAGCGGGGAAGCGAGCTGACTACGAGGGGCCAGGGCATCACGCTCCTGACAGAGCAGATTAGGGGCTCTGGAGCCATTTATTAATGTTAGCAGAACAATTGGAAAGAATTTCCAGGGTTTCATTGGCTCGGCAGCAGGACGAGGCCCTGTGCTCCCGGCGAGGCAGACTGCCAAAGAGCTGCCTTGCCCTCAGCACACAGTCATTACCTCCGAGAGCTCACATCCATTGTTATTTGTTATTGTTAATCGGAAGATTTTCTGCCTATTTGCCCTGGGTAATTTGCCCAGCAAGGGGCTGGGCCCAGGAGATTTCCTGCTTGGAGTGCTGCAGCAGGCTATTGCGCCCTCGGCGACACGCTTACTCGCCGGCCAGGCAGCAGGGAGGTCGCTGCTAGCGTAGGCCCTGCTGGGATCCACCACGTGGAAATCGGACACTGTGTTTGAAAACAGCTCCCTAGGCCAGCAAAGACACGGCCTCCGATCTCCCCGTGAGTGACCTGGAAGGCTTTGGAAGCCTGCTAAGGTCCAGGTTAAGGTTCCAGGTGTGCCTGGCAGCCACTGCTTGTGCTGCATGGCTCCTGCAGCGCAATCCTCCCGCGGCACCGTGCCTTGGGGAGTGGCAGGAAACGAATCAGCTACGTTCTGTCCAATCTAGGACCCATCCAGAGCTGCTTACCCAGGTCCCCATGTGCAGGGGGAGAGGTAACGAGCATTTACATTATTATAAAATAAGCGACTATTGGACACGTGTGTAGTTCCCATCTAGCCCTAAGGATGCAGGCTCCAGACTATGTGCTCATGTATGGAAGCAGATATCCTGTTCTTATGGCATAAGAATGAGGCTCACAATCCCTTAGACGTGCGGCAGGACATGATGCTATTGGCCCAGTCTGCAAAAATCTGACTGGTTTTACTTGTCATGATAATAGTGATTATATGTTGCACTTAATCTGTGGCTCGTAAGAGTGAGTAAACAGCCTTATCCCTAATTTACAGGTGGAGAAACTGAGGCAGGGGTGCTGAGTGTCTTACCCAAAGTGACACAGTGAGACATTGGCTTGGATAGGGACAGAGGTCAGCTCTCTTGACTTGGATTCCTTTGCTCTAACCACTAGACATGCTGACTACGGGTAGTGTGTCAGGAAGCTGGATTAATTGAACCATAGAAGACTAAACAGTCCCATTAAGGAAAGTTTCTCACCGTGGCGAGGGGTGACTCAGCCGCACAACAGCCACTGACGTTAATGAAAGGCTCAGAATTAAAGCCCACAAGAAGCGCAGAAAATACCTCCCACCAAGCCTTGCTCCTGGGTTCCCAGTGGGCAAAAGAACCTAGGACAAGGCCTGCCACACTGCAGGGGAGCGGCACTAGCGGGGACAGTACAGACACAGAGCAATCAGCCCCGCCCCAGTGCACAAGGCCATGCCAGATGCCTCACAAGGGGCCCCTTTCATCCCAAATGTTTCTAGGCATATCCGAGAGCGGCAGGGGAGCAAGAGGAGCTCCAAGATCCCTCACTAATTGTTAACCTGCTGCAGTCCCCGGCCCAACGATTAGATCCTCTCCCTCCCAGGCAGTCATCTCGGTCGCACACACGTGGAGAGGAAGGGTCAGTGGGAGCAGCCCTGTCCCCTTGGGCTTCAATTCTTCACCATTAGAACTTCAAAGGCCTCCCAAGACTCCCAGCCAGGCTCCGTCCCTGGAACAACGCCTTTTGCATTGATAATTCAACTCTTTGCCGTGTTTTCCCAACACGTCTGTTCTCTGCCTCTCAGTTACTAACCCACTCAAACAGCAGAGCGGTAGAACTGAGCTCCCCTCCCCGGGCACCCTTGGCAACCAGGCTCCCAACTCCCCCACGCTCTGGGTTCTCCCCACTACTGGATCCAGCGCAGCGCCACGAGTAAACCAGAGCAGAAAGCAAGCATCAGAGTCACGGCCTCTCTATCACTGGCCTTTTTTGAGTCAAGATTGGATTTTTTCTAAAATATCTGCTCTCATTCCAGCAGGAATTATTGTGGGAGCGTTCCAGAGGGTCAGACTGAATGATCACAATGGTCCCTTCTGACCTTGGAAGCTATGGGAAAGGGGCAGGGAATGGGCGCCCCCTGCAGGAGGCAAACCAGAAAGTGGCATGCTTTTCCCAGAGACTGAAGCAGGATTTTCAAGAGACAGGTGTGGCCAGGTATCTATAGCCCACCATTTAATCAGTGAATCAGCAGAGTGGCCAACCCCGCAAGCCTTCAAACACCATGACTCAGGCCTCAAAACGTTTTCAGACTGGCTTAAAAACCATGAGATTGTAAACAATAATAAAATGTTGGGTCTTTTTCTTGGCCTTCTGTTCTCTAGGGGGGGTCACACTTTCAAGCTTTTCTCCACAACAATGAGGCCTAGAAATGTAGCTTCTCTTGAAAAGAAAGATGAAATTCTCACAACTCCAGGATTTAAGAAAAAATCAGATCAAATCCTGAGAAACTCACAATAAAACTGGGAGTGTTGGTATCACTGGAATATGGAGTTTGTCCTGGCCAGGAACAACCCACGAATGGCTCTGGATTGTTTGTTATTCATGATTTTGCAGTGGATCATTTGTCCACATCAGTGACAGCCTCCGGCCCGGTTAGCTAAATCACATGCTATGCTTACTGACCACAATGTCCAAACCTGGATGCCTGAAGTTAATCACCTCCCAAGGAGCACCCCAGGCCACTACTGCCTGCAATAGGAGCTGCAGCTCTGCAGCAACATTGAAAACCTGGCTCTAGCCCTTAGCGGCCATAGCACTCCTGGTGGGAAACATTGGCCTTGGGGGCCTGGAGTTTTATTTTTCACCGGGAGAATAATGAAGGACAAATAAATCATCCCCACCGACTCCAGGCAGCGCTCTG